GGGGGGGGGAGCAGGTATATTTATATGATATACCTTCTTATTTGAATATGCTCTAGGATTCAGGTTAGATGCGGAAGTTTTTTTGGGAAAACCGGTAGGTTGTACTATGTAGTACCTCTTGGATATGTTGTGTTCGCACGAAAAGTCAGCGTCGGATCTTCAGTTGACTAAATTTGGATCTTGATGATTTTTCGAACGGCTTAACGACTACACCCTCGTTTTTTTCCTGACATACAGCAAGTACTGTGACTTCGGAAGGGTGTAGCTCATAGTTATTTAACTAGGAAGGCACGGCTAAGGCCTTCTCTTCGAGCACGCGAACTAGTAGAGTTCACCCTCTTGATGAGACTCCGTTGGTGGGCAGAGCGAAATTGGTTGAGGGACACCACTGTGCTTGGCTATGGTGGTTACGATTGACGGTTTTTGCAGAGTGAATTCGGAGTGTTTTTGGAAGTCCCCGTCATTTTGCAACTTTGTGTGCCTGTCATTCAGTTGCAGGGACTGTTTTGACACAGGCCGACAACTCTCTGGTGCATAGTAACCGGTAGCGGGAGATGCTAATCGGTGGTTGCGTCTACGTGTTCGGTGGTTTTTCAAGGATTCTTTCGTGGGTTTTCAGTTCAGCGGTATCGGATGGTGAGCTCGTTTACAGCGATCTATGAGACAAACCTCCATGGTGAGGTTCTCTGTGTTCGGTGGGTTTTCGAGGATTCTTGTGTGGTTTTTCGTTCAGCGATATCGGATGGTGAGCATGTCTACAACGATTTGCAAGACAGACCTTTGTGGCGATGTTCTCTGAGAACGAATGATACAGCTGTTGGTCCGGTTGGAGGGTTTCAGGATAAGCACGGGGTCTTGTTTGAAGTAGGATCAATTATACTCCTTCAGAAGAGAGCTTCCGACTTTTAAATAAGACGTTACTTTATTTGAGCAGCTCTGCTGTAATTTAGTAACTACGTTCCGGTGAGGTAGCTACCTTGGTATTAAGATCGGGGAGGATCTTTTTTCCTGGTGATGGGTAGGAAGGGCAATTCGGTTACGATCCTTCGTTTGTTGGTAAGTGGTGTAGGTTTGATCCTGATAGGTCTGGGTCTCTTGGTAATTGGTGCTGCTTTTTTATGCGAGAATGGTTGTTAAGCGTAGACTCGGCGGTGAGCGTATAGGCTACGAGAGAATTCCTTTCGCTATCCGGGGAAAGCTAACTCGAACTTTGAACCGTTTCGTGGAAAGTACGATTCGGCCCTTGTTTTATCTAATAGGGCTGATTGAAGATGAACAACTTAGAGACCGGTTTTACGACTCGCTGCTTCGCGTTTTGGTACGTGTAGAGAGAGTGATTTTAACGCTCAGAACTCGTAGGCGTATACAACTCATGTTGGTTTAATTGACTTCCTGACGAAAATAGGGATTGCTTCCATAACAACACATAAACAACTGTTGATATACTGAAGAACTTCGACAAGAAAGGAGTCAAACTTGATTCCTGAAAAAAACAAATTTTTCTATTGAAGTTGTGAACATCTGGAGGAACTGATGTGGTTTTGCTGGTTTTTCGCTGTTTTTTTTTCGACGTTTTAGGATCCCGAATTTTGGGGTGGACTCCGTTTGGAAGGGTATATACGCCCGAGGGATTCTGGTGATACATTTAGACTGGATTCATAAGGTCAGCGGATTCGCAGAGCTTCAATAGAAGGAGAACTATTTCGGGACCAAGCGAAATGTTTCTAACTAATATCCCGGGACGGGATAGTTTTGGGGCATATGAAAATGGCAGTTGTGGCTACAACAGAGCTAGTTGCGGAGATGGAAGAGGCGGGGCACATACGAATGGAGATGCGGTTGGCGGTGGAGGCGGTTATGGTGCCGGTGGGAACGGTGGAGGTGGACTTGGTGGTGTGTGCTACAACTACGGGAAGCCGGGACATTTCATGCGGGATTGTTGATCACGTTCCGGAAACGGTGGAGGTGGACCTGGTGGTGTGTGCTACAACTACGGGAAGCCAGGGCATTTCGTGCGGGATTGTTGATCGTGTTGCGACAGACCCTACCAACACAACCAGGGGGATCCTGAATTGGAAGAAATCAAGGAGCATCATTGACAAGCTAGAAAGGAGCGCATCGAGCAAGAGGAAAGGAGGAGGATCAAGGAGGAGAAAAAAGCGAAGGAAGAAGAGGATAATCGCAGAAACCAAGATTTTGCACGGAAGATGGAAGAATTCAAACTACAGTTACGAGTCGATTTGAATGAGGAATGGCGCAAGAAGAATTTTGAAGCTGAGAAAGCCACATCGGAAATTAAGAAGAAAGTGGTAAGATTGAACCAAGGTTCACGACCGACGATAGGCAAAGGTAAGGGACGAAAGATGAAGAGGAAGCATTACGTACTCAAGTGAGGACTCTATAACAGATTCGTCATCAGATTCGGATGATTCCAGTTCACTTTCGAGTGAGTCCAGTGATGAAAGAACGCGTGCGAGGGTGACCAAGGCGAAGGGGAAGCGGCGTAGTAAGGGAAAGTCGAAGCAAGGAAAGGGGAAGGGGAAACAAGGGATTGCCAGCGGGATGTTCGCAGAAGGGCTTAACATAATATTGTATCTCTGCTTATAAGATCTACTCGGCAAAGAAGGCGCATGCACTTAGAAAGAAGGGGTATTAAGTATACTACGAAATCGGAAGTGGTGGAACAACTTGCGAGGCAATAGGTGGAATTAGCCTACGAGGGATTCGAAGAGGGTACTGGCAAGGGGAAGGAGACGATGATATAGGAACAAGTTGCTTCACCGAACGCGGACGTCAACAGAAGTAAGGTTGTGCATATCTCACCTGCGACATGAAGACCCAAGGTTATTCTAAAATCGGCAGCGATGCAGGCAGAGGAGGATTCGAGTTGATGGGGAAGGCCAACTTCTATATCCGACCTTTGGGAGTCTCTTAACACCTGGATCTCCCATCGATCGGAGCTTCAAAGGGAAAACATGACTGGTGACGTAGCCAGGAAGGTAGAAAGTGCAATCGCAAGGACGACGTTGCTCCTCGCTAGTCGGAGACATATACCTTGGCTAGAGAAGTGCATCGCTAGGGCGGGCAATTTGTCAGAAATGCTTGGCCTGGACACACCAGGGGTGTATATGATTGTTAGTCCCTGGACTAAGAAGACATATGTGGGGGCTACGGTTCGACCAATCATCCAGAGGTGGAGAGAACACTGTCGGAACGCGTCAAACAACGCTCTGGGGCTAGCTCCACATCTGTATCGTTCAAGTTGGTTACGAACTTACGAGCATACGACCTAGATAGATACGTGATTATTCCGCTGAGGCACACAGGGAAGGAGAACGATTATGCTTTTGAGAAGTTTCTGATCTCAAATTTTTGCCCGAGTTTGAATACACATGACTTGGGTCTGAAGAAGGATGGTAGGAAGAAACTTGGAAAGGGGAGGCGAGAAAGGAAAGGGAGATCTCACACGACGAAAACGGAGGAGACAGTGGTGTTTCATGATGACGAATCAAGCTTTGTGTCACTGATTGGTTGGCTGAACACCTGATGTGACGACCGAACGTCAAGGACCATCGTGGTAAGTAAGGGTACGAAATGGGTGGACGGATGGCGTAGGATTAAGCATTTATTTGGCGGATTTGTGGTCAAGGTAGGCGACATCGTGTCATCTTTGAGGCTGGTTAAAAAGCAACTACAGCTGGGGACTCGACTGGAACTCTTGCAGATAGTGAAGGCGAAGACGACTACCGAGAAGAATAAAGCTTTCTTAGCGGGACTGCTTCGAAGGCCTAGGCCTATCTCGCAGCTCTGCATTTTTACATCGAACAAGTTGATAGGCTTGTATCGTGCAACGGGCCTTTTCACCGAGAAGAAGACCAAACAACATTTGCGTCTCAAGATCGACAGAGCATTACACGGGAAGACTGGCGTAAGCATAAGGAGGCGTATCAACATCAAGGTGTCGTATGCGTCTACCATTAGGAAGAACGCCACCAGGAAGGTCGCCGAAGGTATGGTGAACGAAAGGTTGTCTGACACAGTTGTGACCGACTTCGTAAAGACCCGCATTCGGGTGATCTGGACACGAAACAAATCAGTGGGCGAGCTCATATGGAATCGCAAGCGATATGCGACGGATGCTGAAGTAAGGTGTTGTTGCGATAGCTTCTCACTTCCAAAAATTGCAGGCCATGTACAGACGCGCTTCGCAGAGTTGCCGGAGGAACTGGTGCCTGGGTTCATGCGAAATGCTAAGAACATCACGAGGCCGGGACGCAAGGTACATAGCGAGGCAGTATTGCAAGCTATCTTCGACGCTACTAAGCACCTGAAGGGAGACGTAGTTCGATCTGATCTGCTACCAGGAACCTTTCGTTGTGAAGAACACCGATCGCTGGCTTGGACGGATGATGCAGTGAGAGATTGGGAAAAGTAGTTTGTCGGGTTGGTGCTGACTCAGATTGACAGGAATAACGGAGATACAGTGGTGTTTTGCCTGGTCCTGTACAGGCATGGCTTTGGGAAGCTGTTCACATGGAATACGAACTACATCATGGTGGGGACTGCAGATGAGGAGGCGGAGCTATTGAGGACGTACAGGGAGGAGTTCCGAGACTACGAACTGGAGAGCATCGGTAAGTGGAAGCCCGATGGCAGATTAGGCACTGCCTACGTAAGGCTACGTTATTCTGAAACACAAGGATCTGGAGAGATGGAGACCCATCGCTCCAGTCTCATCTGATCCTGCGGCTTTGGCGCAGAAAAGAGTTGCGAGGGCTTTGCACACGCTACTCTGCCATTTGCCGGTACATGACTTGTTCTATCTGAATTCTATCTCGGAGTTATCGGATCGACTAAGGGCAGCAACGGTGAGAGTGAAGGCTAGAGGCTGCACCAAAGTGGAAGGACGCTGCTTAAGGAGATGTTCTCTCGTATCCCGCATTCAGCGGTCATCAATTCGGTGGAAAGTCTGCTGAGAACATACATCGACAAAGGATGGAGATACGTGAAAGTATCTTTTCGTGGTAAGGTTTGTGTGATCAGTAAAACGAAGAGAAGGGTGAATGGATATGTCAATATCAGCCTCCCAGTTCTGCTCCAGGTTGTACTCTATGATTTGCAACACTCGTCCATCAAGTGCGATGACAAATTGATGCAGCAGGTCTTTGGAATCCCTACGGGGAAATCCACTAGTCCCATCCTTGCTTCTACCACCTGTGCCATTTCAGAGAGGAATTTGCTTAGTACACTGGGCAACGACAGGAGGCTGGTCGGAGGATAGAGGATCATGGATGACATCTCCGTGATTGTTGGCAGCTCGGACACTTCCGAAAGCTGACCGGAGGATATCCTCCGGTCAGCTTAAAGACATTTGAGGAATGTTATGACACCAACTTGGAGGTTGTTCGTAAGGATGAATGTGGACTTACCTAGCCATTCGTGGGCGGAACCTTCTTCATCGGTAACAAGCCGTTGCAGTTACACTTTGTCCCAAACTGCAAGAACACGGACGCACTGTACGAGAAGGGTAAGCTGGTTTTCCAGACTATGCAAGACTATAGCTTGTATTCAGACAAGGCAGTGAAGAAGGCGGCTATCAGGAGAATGTGGGACCAGACCACGTGTAAGAAGCTGGTTCTGGGCTCAATTGCTTTCGCGATCTGCGAGGCTAACCTCGGGGGCTATGCCCCGGAGGTCTCTCTCGGTGCTCTGGCCAAATTGGCCAAGGCTGCGCGCGATGAGTATCTGGACAAAATGCTGGCTATCTTCAGATGTGCTGCAGCACTCGGAAGAAAGTACGACCCGGGGCGCTTGGTTGCCCCGGTAAGTTTTGAGCTCCATATGAGCACGATTTTGGCAGCTTAGTTCGTTTAGTCTGTTTGTCTTTCGAAATGTAGCAGACCCAGCTAGTGGGTAGTGGACTCGGTTCACATGCTCCACGGGTTTTTCAGAGGTAGGCCTGGGGGGGGACCCACGGGGTATATTTATATGATATATCCTCTTATTTGAATAGGCTCTAGGATTCAGGTTAGATGCGGAAGTTTTTTCGGGAAAACTGGTAGGATGTACTATGTAGTACCTCTTGGACCCGTTGTTCGCACGAAAAGTCAGCGCCGGATCTTCAGTTGACTAAATTTGGACCTTGATGACTTTTTGGACGGCTTAACGACTACGCCCTCATTTTTTTCCTGACATACAGCAAGTACTGTGACTTCGGAAGGGTGTAGCTCGTAGTTATTTAACTAGGAAGGCATGGCTAAGTTCTTCTCTTTGAGCACGCGAACTTGAAGAGTTCACCCTCCTGATGAGACTCCGTTGGTGGGCGGAGCGAAACTGGTTGAGGAACACCACTGTGCTTGGCTATGGTGGTTATGATTGTCCATGACAGTTTTTGCAGAGTGCATTCAGAGTGTTTTTGGAAATCACAGTCGTTTTGCAACTCTGTGTGCCTGTCATTCAGCTGCAGGGACTGTTTTGCCGCAGTCTGCCACTCTCTCTCTCTCTCTCTCTCTCTCTCTCTCTCTCTCTCTCTCTCTCTCTCTCTCTCTCTCTCTCTCTTTTTCTCTCTTTCTCTCTCTCTCTCTGTGTGTCTCCCCTGTGTGTGTGTGTGTGTCTCCCTCCAGCGCGGACAAATTCGCTTCCGGTTTCGAGCTCGCCCATGCAGCCCACCAGTAACGGAATTTGCAACCTCTCTGCGCGAGCTCCACAGGGCCGGGTGCCAAGTCCCACCAGCAGCTTTGTGTTTTCTCGACGCTCAAATATGGACGTGTAGGTACAGAAGTGCAGAAATCACATTGAGTTTTCTCAACCCTACATCTTTTCAAATACGCCCCGATGAGAGCATTGAGAAAACTATATGCTGCTTGTGGGACTTGCCCCCCGTGGGTGCTACTCTGTCGTCGGACCCTTTATCCCAACTAAAATGGAGTGCCCCGGTACCCGGTCCTGAAAATGAGAAAACTGCCCCTTTCTAACTTGCCATGTATAGGCAGCGCCGCCAGATGTTTTTTTTCGCCTTTATGAACTGGGAAGGACAGGTACCTGTCGACCTGTGTTTTTTTTGCCCGTTTTGAACTACAGGTGTGACACAGGCGTACTTGCCCCTTTTTTTTTCTTTTTTTTTTGGATAAATGTAGCCTGGTTCATCTGCCCGCTGGAGACTACAATGATCGTCTCTGGTTTTCTTTTTGAGTTTTTCCCATTTTCCTTTTTCGTTTCTTATGTTTGCCCTCATGAAACAAGATGCTGATGCACGTTTTGCACGGCGTCTGAGCAGGGGATAGGAGTCTTTGCTTAGCCCCGGTGCCTGCAACAGCTGTCTGGTCAGGTCACCCCGCCAAGATGGCAATGGGTGATGGTCCTGGGTGGTTAACAACTTAACACTAGGGTAGGACAGCGGAAGTGGGAGTGCGCCAGGGCAAAAACATGAGAGGAAGGGTGGGTGGGGTCTTCCGAGGGGTTCATCTGGACGACCGACTGGTCGAGTACTATGGGTGACTGCCATACGTCTAGTATCCCACCTCTACAACAACCTGGGGCAAGGTCCCACTCGCAACGGGATAGGATAAAAACGAGTTTGTGGGGCAGTTGAGTGACCCAAATCCTGTCGTGCAGTACTCGTGATCCCACGGTCAGTACTTCACTTGTATTACCCGAAAAAGTAAGGAGATCTTCGTTCCCCTCCTCCTGAAACTTTTCAATCGGTTGGGGGTGTGGCCAACGCCAAAGGAGGGTGGGGTCGGCCTTAGGCCCACTGGATAGAAGATTTTCAGTATTTTACTTGCTGTTGTGCAATTATCTCATTGGGTGGACCCCTCCTTCAATCATGGAGTATATGGAGGGTGTCAGGATCAGTGCTGACAGAAGTCAAGTTTAGAGGTGGACCCCACAGGTTTGCGGCAAAGGATTGGAAGAGTTTTGGAAAGGTTTTGGAGACCCCACATGCCCGTTCGGGTCGGGTTGGAAAGGGACGGAGGGCCGTTTCTACATGGCCCGCGGCCCAGTGTACCCCCGGAAACCACCGGCGCCGCCGTCGTCGATGGCCAAACGGGAAGACGAGGGTGGGCGGAGGCACTCCGCCGCAAACGGAAGGAAACGGCATTCGGACAACCGACGGTGTCCGCTGGTCGTGCACGCGTACCAGGTCCACACAGCCGAAATTCGAATTATGTCGCACGCTCCCGACCGCGGGACCTGTCCGTCCAGGCAAATGTCCCAAAGGTCTCAACGGGCACGAACGGCACGGACCCATCACCGCACCACCCGAACGACTTGGGAAGGGTGCACGTGGTGATGGTTGTCCGTTAGGAAGTGGATAAACGACCACGAAGAGCAGGACGGTCAGGGGACATTCGGCCGATCGATTTGGAAGTTCAAAAGTAGGACATTTTCATAACGACGTTATGAGCAGGTGGTGGTCCATGGGTTTGCGTGAGGGGAGGAAGGTGTGCGGGCTGGCACACTCGCTGGGAAGTGTTGTTCGCCTGTGTTGCCCTTTGTCGATGTCCTCCTCCCTCGCATGTCGTCCGACGCAGGGTATGTTGTCACGTGTCGGGACGACCACAAAGGCGGGTGTTTGGGGACGACTCGCTCCCTCGCTGTTGTGTGGAGTGTGGTGGTCTACCGTGACACTCGTCACAACACGCTTTCCCCTCATTCGCAGTTTGGCAGTTGATGGTGTTGTCGGGGGGAACAGCAGAGGGCTTCCCACCGACGTCGGGCGAACATCGCCATTGTTTTGGCGAAACTGCAGCGACTCCAACGACGGTCGAAGGGTGGATGTCCTTCGCGCGGACGCCTCGCTATCCGTCGGCTTCCATAAGGTGTGCGACCGAACTTTTCCGTGTCCTATCGGGAACGTCGTCGTTGTTGAACAGAGAGCCGGCGATGTGGATGTTCGCTTTGCGTACGCAGCACTGGCGTGGTTTGTCATCGTCGCGGTAGTTTTCATTCTGCTTTTTTTCATTTTCATCCTTTTTTGTGTTGTCGTACTCCTGATCGTCACCTGCCTTTGCCGCAAGCGACATCTTTGATCCATGGATCAACAACATTGGTCGCGTCAACCTGCACAAGACTTCTCATCTTTGCTAGATTCTTCTATGGAAGACGATCATGGCAGGTCTGGCGGTGATCGGCCTTCGCACGCAATGCCATCGGTGCGCAATGATCAGAACTCCGTTGCATGGCAGCCAATATTCGCTCCCTCTCTCCCACCCCTCCCTCAGTGGAGGAACAACCCTGGTGGTGAGCAAGGCTACATGCAGGGCAGCTATGGCCAAGCGAATCTCCCTGTTTCCTCCTTTGCAAGCATCGGATATGGCGTCGGGGGGGGGCATGGGATCCATCAACAGGGTGCCGTGCAACACGTACAGGCGCCTCTCCGTGCACCACTCCGACCGCCCATGCCATCACCACCTCCCTCTATGACTGTGCAGCCGTCCGCGAATAGCATTCCGTGTGACGCTGGACAACGCACGTCCAGATCTCACCCGTCTACCGGCATGGGAGGTGAACCTTTGCCGGCTATGGAAGCGTCGTCTCTGCCACTCCCGCCCGTTAGCCTTCCAGATGGCCCGCCGTCGCCGCCACCTTCGAACACTGCTCCGAGGCCGGGGGAGGAGCCATCGACGACAACGGATGCTCCTACCGGCGAGAGCGATGCTGGGAGGGCCGCAAACAAGCCGCCTTGAAAGTCCTCTTAGTTCGGGTCCGCGGATGAGCAAGTGGCTTTGGCAAGGGTGTACGGCGAAGATGATGCACTATGTGCCTCTGCTTCAGGACCTCACAGGTGCATGAGGCGGCAAGACCGATTGGAGTGGATATCGAACAGGATGCGGGCGGAAGGGTACAAGCGCAATGGTGAAGATTGCAGGAAGAAATGGGCGTCTTTGATGGAGAAGGCGAAGGAGATCAATGACAACTGCGGGAGATCGGGCGGTGAGAGCTACTGGGAGATGACGACAGAGAAGCGCCGTGAACTGGGCGTCCACCCTGCGTTTGACAAGGTGCTTTGGGATGCCATGGGGTGGGCACTGAGAAAACCGTCAGTGACATGTGACCATACGTTGGCTTCCGACAACATGCAGTCGCTGACTGACGACGTGACATCGATGAGGGGCGGGGCGGGTGAAGTGCATCGTCAGGCGGCGCTGGAAGGGGGAAGACTGCTCGTGATGCGTCGGAGGGGTCGGACAGCGGGACAAAATCGAAGAGAGGAAGGTCGAGAGAGAGGCCAGGGAATGATGACTCACCGCAATCTCTTTCCGTTGCTATGCGGGAGTCTACACAGGCGTACTGTCAGGGATTGGAGCAGGCCGCTTGCACAATGGCAAGTGCTACGATGAAAGGACCCGAGATTGTGGGTGGGCAGATAGGGGAGATGGCAGGGAAGATCGGGGTTGCGGCCGATGCAATGGTAGGTGGGAATGCGGTGCTTGCCCAACTTGTGGG